CGCCGCCGCCGGCCTCCCCGCGTGGGAGACCTACCTGCACGCCTTCCACAGCGCAGTGGCCCAGCGCCTGCAGGAGCTTGCGCCCGATGCCCGCGGCTGTGAGCAGCTCTACCTCCTGCTGGATTGGGCCGCCAACATCTACGGCAGGTGAGGCTCATGCGTGAGGGGAGCTCTCTGCCCACCTCGCCCAGTCCCTGGGGAACTCGCTCCGGGGCGCAGCTTTGCTTTGCTCTCCAGTCCCTCACTGGAGAGGGCAGGGCTGGTGCCACACAGGAAGAAAGGGATGGCCACGCTGTGCTTCCTGTTAGGCTACCGTGCATTCCCATCTCAGGTTTGCCCGAGGGCCGCCCTCCTGCCTGTCCACAGGTGCCTGTGCCCGCGTTAGAAAGGACACCTTGGGGCAGGACACCCGTGGGCTCTCGCTCCCCATGACAGGCACCGCTGCTGGGGTTGCCACGTCCGCTCTGCCGATCCCCTCCTGGGATGAGCTCCCGGGTCCCACACGCGACGTGGCTCCCCGAACACCAGCAGGCTGGACGGGACCGCTGGAGCTGTGTTGGGTGGGGAGCCAGTCTTGTGTGCTCGCCATGCGGGGCGGCTGGAGGGGCCGGCCATCGGGACAGGAGGGCTCCTTAAGCATTCTGAGCGGGAACAGCTGGTGGCCAGAAGCTTCCGGAAGGGAGTTGATGGCCCTGACCCCTGGAGCCCGGAGCTTAGACTTGGGGTGGCGGCTGTGCCTTGGCTCCGCCCCGCCCCTCAGCACCTGCCCCACTTCGACTTCAGTCCTGACTTTCTGGACACCCCGGACCTGGCGCTGCCCAAGGAGCCGCTGCCCCCGCTCCTGGCGCCCGATGTGTGGGCGCAGCTGGAAAGTGACTACACCCGCTTCCTAGAGGTGGGGCCCTGCTCCCGGGTCCGGGAGACTGTGGGGGCGATGCCTCCCCTGCGGGACTGGCCTGGGACTGGGCAGGGTCCCCCTCCCAAAGACCTCACCTGCCGGCCTTCCCCCAGAGCAAGATCGAGAGCTGCTTCGACCGCATCCTGCAGCTG